TTTTTTTTAAAAAAAAAAGAAGAGGAAAGAAAGACAGAATGAAAGGGAGTTTTTAAATAATAATAATAATAATAAAGAGTTTTAGAGATAGAAAACTGACCCTAAAACAAGGGCAAAGCATACAGAGGTTTTATCTAGGGAAGAAAATGCAATAAATGGTTTTATCGGTGGTTTAGAGGTCTCAAAGCAATCCACAAGCGTAGAGATACACAATATATCAGTTTGGATTTTAAGAGCAGTAAGGTAAGTTTTTTTAAATCGTGTGTGTGTGTGTGTGTTTGTGTGTAAGGGAGAGTCATAGACAGTCACTTCAAAGAATGATGTTTAGAAGCTGATTATTATAATAAGCTAATGTGTTTCTTTTTCCAAACAAAAAAACCCCACCATGCATTATAAATTCTCAGTAGTTCAGTTAACAGATTAAGTCATTATGCCTCAAACCCCTGCAATATTTAAGCAACCTCAACCTTCCTTTCCTTTCTGCTCACCTCCCCCCCACCTTTCTCTTTATTTTGACCTCACTTTTTTTCTCTTCCCCTGTTTCTCTCTCTCATTTCTTGAAACAGATCCATCTTTTCCCCCTATTCTTTGTTCTTCCACACTGAATGACAATTAACCATTTTTTTTCTAAATTCATCCACCAATAATATCACCTTTCCTCTTATAATCCATCACCCTATTGCAAAAAACTCTTCATTTCATCGGGTTAGCATTTAATTTCAATATTGTAGACTGCATTACATCATCGTGCTTCTGATTCTAAGCATAGCAGCTAGGCATAGATGTTTTCATTGAAACCAATGGGCCTTCATTTCCAGAGATACTCTTTCAAGCTAAAGAAATATTCCCAGGTATGTTTAGAGCAGGTTATTTCCTTTAGACAACCCCAAAGTACAATGTATTTTGAAGCCAATGAACAGCCCAGGTTTGCAAAGGGAGACACTATATAGCTTGAGCCAGTTAAAATGATAATCCTGATCATTAGCTGGAAAATATTGATGAGAGGAAGATTATGACACTTTACACCTGTGAAGCCCTGAAAATTACTTCCCTAGAAACTGCGATCAGCATTTGCAGCGATCTATCATCACAGCGATGGAAAAAGATGGAAGAAAGCAAACTGGTCGCCCTCCCCCTCCCCTTCCAGCCCAAAACTCTCAAGTACAAGTAACTTTAGAGAGACATTTCATGAACACAGCAAAGGTGAATTCACTCTCTTGGTCTCAGCAAAAATGTATAAACAATATTTAGAAACCCAACAAGTTTAGCCAAAAGGAAGAGTTCACACTTACTGGAGCTGTCTTTCCATTGTCCTGAACCTGTTGTAANATTCATTCATTAATTCATTTATTCTTTCTTTCTTTCTTTCTCTTTCTTTCTTTCTATTTCTCCCTCTCTTCTAAAAACAATCAGACACGAAAGACAAACAAAAGCAAACCCACACATTAAGAAAAACCTCTATCTAATCATCAGCTCACGACATTTCTGCTACAAAGATACGAAAGCTTTCCGAGACTCCCGACATTAGTTTGAAAAGCATGTAAATAAAGAGGAGGGGGGAAACCACCCTTCGCCAATATCAAGATTTTATTCACCTTTCCCAAACGGCCGCTGATATCGAAAGAGAAGATTTCCAAGCAGCCGACTAGCCTTTTTCCGGGTTCTTTTGTACTGTGGGGGTGAGCATGTTTATGATGCGATGTGCTACCAAAGGACAATTAAAATAGGACGAAGACCTCCGTGGCTCCTGTTCTAGAGCAAGGCAGGGCATCTTTGCAGATCTTCTCCCTTTAGGTCTCCTAACCATATGAGCCGAAAAGTGAAGTTTTTGCATCGACCATATATTCCCCTAGAATCGAATCTGTGACTACGTAAACACCACACAAATTCGGTTCTACAGGGTATATATAGACAACGGAACAACATTCTGGTCTCCTTTTTCTGAAAGGCAGCCACTCTCTCCTGTTTCCAGCCCTCTGACTTTCATCCAAGGAATACACACAACTGGGCTCTGTGGGGGGAAAGACCTGGCGTCATGGGTATGAAGGGAAGGATATGTATAATTTCATAGAAAAACGAATAAACAACCAAAAAAAAAGCACAATTGGTGTGACAAGGAACAGCGAGCGGGACATCCAGATTTCTAAATTTCCAGAGCTCAGCCAGTCTAACAGAACCCGGAATCTTAGATACCTTCAGATTTGAATCGGGGCAAATGATTTGACAAGTTAAGTTCCTCTTTGTAAAAAAAAGAGGAAGATATTCAAACTAAGACATAAAACCGTCTTTCATCACCAAAGAAAAGATGGAGAATCTCTTACAAGAAATACAGGTATTTAGCTTTGTTTTTAATAATACAAGAGGGGAAGGGTGGAAAGCCTCTTTTTAAAGATTCCACTGGTCTCTTAAAAGTAGAGAGGATCTGTTTAAAATAGATATATACTTATATAGGCAACAAAAGCTCTGTCTTCTGGTTTTCAGACAGTTGCGTTTATGCGAAGGGCAGGGCCGGAGGTCACCCTAAATCATTTACAAACATATCCCAGCGTTTTCATTCTTTCCTGTTTGTCGACAGCAGCACAGCACACTTGAGTCCAAAAGTTCATGCATTGTGGCTGACCCATTTCTAAGTGCTGCCTTGCAGTCATCTCCCTTTAGTTCCCTGGTTTGGCTATTCAAAAATAGTATCAAAATAAAACAAATATCAGGATACGTAGGTGTGAACAGTAAGCTTAAAGGACTGCTCTTTTGGTTTTCTTTTGTTGAATTGTGAGGCAGAGCGCTTTTTAACATCCAAAAGTGATTCTCTGTCCCTGTGGAAACAGAATCCAACTGGATCTCTTAACAAATTACTGAGGCCATATCTATTTTCCAGAGTTGGCTGAAAATGTATTTTAGGGGGAAATTGGTGGCTCCTCCTACCCCTGCCCCTTTTTTCCTATTCAGTTAAAAAACAATGAAATGTACTCAAGCAGTCAATTCTTTGCAGGTTATATATGTGTGTGTGTGTGTGTGAAAGAGACAACACTTTGGAAGAATCAGGTAGAAATCACAGAAAGAAGCAAAAAAAAGAAATCACCCCAACATTTTGTGCAATGGCACAGATTTTCATATTTGTTAGACGCTGTGACCTGCGTTTCACCTTATTGCACGACTTGCTCAGACAGGTCAAAGCCAAAGAGTTATTGATGGACAAAAGCGTTAAATATTCACCTCCTGCTCAACTGCCCATACAAACTCGTTTGATCCATCAGGGCCTTTTTGTATGCTGGTTTATAATCAGTATGCTAAGACTAAGTTTAAGAAAGACTTTTTTTNAAAAAAAAGTTATTTCAATCACAAAGCCACGTGTTTGTTCGTTTGCTTGCTTGTTTACAATAGAGCATCTTTCACAAAAGGAATCAAAGGCTGTTCTCCCTCCAGTGGGAATATTCCCCTTTTTAGATCTGGTTCCTCGAGATCCTTCCGGGTTCGCCATCATCCTCCCGGCACAAGGAGCCCTAAAACCGAAGTATCCGAAACCACCCGGGCTCTTCCGTGGACTGGATGGAGCCACGCCGGCAGCCTCGCGAGGTGGTGGTGGTGCAGAAGTACCTTCAGAATTCATTATCTCTTAGTTAAAGTCTGCCTGGGGTAAAATTTCGGCTCGATTTTATAGCCTTCTATTATTATGACGCAAAGCAAAATTTACGACCTTTGCTTGAAAAGAAGTTCAGGCCCTTTCTCACCGCTTCAGAATGGGTAGCAGATGCCCTGACAGCTAATATTGTTTCCCCAGCAAGAGAGAAACGACCAGTATTTCTTTACCCCTATTTCTCTCCTCGGCAGCCTTTGGCCAAAACCGTCCCTTTCCTCTCTCTCTCTCTCTCCCTCTCCCCCACCGCGGTCCCCAGAAGGCTCCCGTTTCTTAATCCCACATCATCAAGAGTTAAACACATTGGGGCGTCTCTCGCCCCCCAACAGGCACTCACTCACACGCCCGGACCGCCGAGAGACGCGTCGGGCTAGGGCAGGGTTACAAATCAGGAAAAGAAGGGCCCCTATTTGTCAAGCATTTTGACAGCTAAGTTCATTAAGGATTTCGAAATATAAAAGAAGAGAAAGAAAATGTGTACATACCAAGCTCCGCTTTCTTTCTTTCTTTTATTAGTGGCAAATGTACATATATATTTAGTTTTGTGTTGTTTTGTTTTCCCCCCTTCGGCTTTAGCCAAAGAGCCTAGGTGTGCATGGAAAGAGCCCGCGCCCCTTTGTATATTATATTCTTGGGATCTCTTCAGTTTTCAAGTCTGATAGAGTCCTTTGCTTGGCAGATTAATGACGACTCCGCGTTTCTTAAGGGACGCGCTGAATTAATTATTTCGCCCATCACGTGGTCGGGACTTGGAGAAAAATCTATTCTTATCATCTTCCTTCGCACTTCAAGAAGCTGTCTGTCTGCCGCGGCTCTTCCAGAGCAAGATGATTTGGGTCTACATCGTTATATTTAACCTTCTCCTCCTCCTCCTCCTCCTNATCAAGTTAACCACAGAGGGAAACTCTGGGTATCCTTCATGGTGTGAAATCACTAGATTATTTTGGGAAGAAATAAAGTAGATTTTGTGTGAGAGAGAGAGAGGGTGGGGGGAGAAACTGATATTTGAACAACCTGAGCCAGAATTTAGAACAAGAAGCTATAAGAATTGTAACATAAATTCTTGAATTTTCAAAGCATGAACTCTACAATCAATTACTCATTACCAGGCACAGATTGTCATAATAATAAAAATTTCATCTTACAATTAATTGTAAGAGTATAAAATGAAAGCTACAAAGATATCAAGGAAGGAAGGAAGGGAGAGAAGGAAGACATTTACATTTGTATAGGCAAACATAAGGATGATTACAAAATTGATTCAACTTGAATTCTTATTCAAAATAACCATGAGGTCATATTCTTCTCCCTATTTGCCTTGGGCAGAATTTTCTCCATTTTTTGGTGTTCCCTTATTTACTCCTCCTGAAGCATTTCAGGTCTTCTGTCCAGAGACCTCTTGCCTTGCCAGATGCATCTCAGTATAGCAAATCTCTCAAGTGTCTTCCAATAAGGAAAGAAGTTTGTATTTGCAACTGGTGCAACATGGTGTTTTTAGATATGAAGACAGTCACTGTAGAAACTGCAGGTGAACAATTCTATTTTCTTCTGCTTAATCTTGTCCAATTCTTGGAGATTGCCTGGACAAGTCCCTGCAGTTTTCTTGTTAACGTTTTTCAGAACCTTCTTTGCCATTCTTCCTACAGCTGAGAAAAAATGACTGGCTGGTTTTGTGCCTAAGGCAGGACTAGAACTCATGGTCTCCCTGTTTCTAGTTTGCTGCCTAACCACTAAACCAAACTGCCTGTCAAGGGATTATTAGGCTAATGTCCATGTTGCTTGCGGCATGCCCTGCAACCTTCTTCTCTTCAGCCAAATTTCCATGCAAATCTTCCTTGTTTGTTCTGTTCTAGTAATGAGCTTCCAGTGGCTGTCTTTGTAGAGAAAGCCTAGTTGATTTTGGTCTATTTTCCCATCCTACCAACATCCTACCAACTAAAGGAATATCCAGTAATTTATTTGGCCAGTAAACTGGTCAATAGCAGTTAAAGCAGAATAATTGTGAATGAAATATTTCTAAACAGACCATATAGAGAAAAGCGAAAGTTCTAGCTATGGAGGGGAAGGGGGAATGGCTTCATTTTCCTTTCAAACAATCCCAATTTGTTAGCTGTTAAGATATAAAAGGGCAACGCCCTGACATCAAGACATCAAAAGGGCAATGCCCTGACATCAAGACAACTAGTATTTTCAGTACAGAAACTATAACTCCATAGAAGATCATATTTCAGATTTGAATTTCAATTTTGGGCAAATCCAATTAAAAGATTATAAAGTAAGGCTCATTGGGAAACATCTTGAGCAATTATGGTCAGTCTAATGATATGAGGGAGAGAAACCACAAATTTGACTCCAAGACAAATGATTAATACATAAGCTTTGATTTATGGGTTTCAAGATATACACCTCTGGAATTCTAACTATGAGAAACTTGTTGAATTCAGTTTAGTAATCTTTAATTTACCTACTTTTATTAGAATAAAGCAACATTTTGTGTAGTAGTTAAGGCACAGGCAAGAAACAAGATCCTTCTAGTCTTTCCTTAAAGCATAAAGCTGGCTGGGTGACTATGGACCAGGTCACCC